ACTAACCAAGGCAGCCCACGTAGGTGTCGATGAAGCAGCCCTGATGGTCACAAACAGCCTGCAGCAAAATGGAGGAAAACAGTTTTCTGTTTTTGTAGCAGTGACCATCAGGGCCGCTTGGTGGCTTGATACGGACATGATACGGACATGGCAGCCGTCGATGGCTCCAGCAGCTTTCCGAAAAGCTTGGTGTCTTGCCAGCCCTGCAAACCCACGAGACACTGCCTCCAGGTCTTCGGGGGTACTCGGGAGGTGGATGACCTGGTGGTGAATGGCCACCACCTCCTCAGTGACTCTGTGGACGATGCGGTGGACAGTGGATCGAGGTATCGCAAACGCTCTGGAGACCACCCTATAGGAGGCCCCACACGCTAGCCAGAATAAAAAGACCAGGGTCTTAATAGTGGCACCCCATCCATGCCTCCGATCCTGGTGGAGGAGGTTCAGCAGCACTGCCAGGGCCTCCCTGCTCAGCCTAAAGTCCTCGTCATTAAAAAACCTGTCCAGTACAGGTACGCTCAGGTTGATCCTGCAGTACAGGGGTCTGGGCTGGTTTAGGGAAAGGAGGAAAAGGAGAACTGTTAAATAAAGAACAATATTAAATGTGGGGAGCATAGGTAGAATAGGCTTATATCTACATATTATATCTGTCTGTCTGTCCAGCCAACCTGTTTCAGCTGAAAAATGTTGTATGTATGAATGATTTTTTTTAGATTACAGTAAAACCATTTTAAATATGAAATTATAGAAGTTGTAATGACATTAGCCATACAAACTACGTTAGCTAGCTGAAGTTAACATTACTTTTAGATACAAGTACATGGATTAACCAATTTAATTTAAATTTGAAATTACCTGAAAATGGTCCTCTCTGAGCCTGAAATAAATGATTCGGCAGTGTCGGCGGTGGTAAATCATTTCTTCCACCATGATCTGATAGATGACGAGCATCAGAAGCACCATGTCTGGCTCCATTTTCGTACGTTTTTAGGGCGAAGCTGTTTGCTAGGCGACGGGTATAGCAAAGGAAAAACTGGCTTCCTGCTTGGTGACGGAAACAGGAAGTCCTCTGTAGTGTAGGCCGTCTCATTTCGGAGACCGCTCGGTCTAGCGTTCGCGGTCCTCGAAGGACGCGGCCCACGTAGACCGCGAAGGCTGGGTCCTCCGAAGGATGCAGACCCTGAATTGGGACACAGCTTATATAGGGCTGAGCCCCCCTATATAGACTCCTGCCTCCCAGACACACATTTGCCAATCAGGAAACCAGGCAAAGACTCATCGAGGCAGGTGAGTGAACAGGTGAAGGGAGTTAGACTGATGAGGAGGGAGTGACTGACAAGTAGAGTGAGGAGGGTGTGGAGCTGAACTGTGACAATTATACATTTATATATAATATATATGAGTTGAAGTATTTATAATACATATGATAAGATATTAATTATTTTGTCTGAGTTACAATTACCCATTTGCTTATTATTTGGGTTAGATTTATATTATAATATATTAAGATAGATTTTTCTTTTAATAGTCATTTGTTTGGTTTAATTATTTTATTTGTTGTTTAAGTATACTTAGTTTTTTCATTTGTTCATTAGTTTATGAATTGGGTAACACTGTGGGCACCTGCGGTTATATATAGGAGAAAGCAGGTACAGGACCAGCATGCACAGGGGTGGGCCTATGGTTTTTTACCAGAGCAGGAGAGGCAGCGATAGTTCTTTTTTCGTTTATTTGCTTGTTTTGTTTTGTTAAATAAATAATGAGAAACACGGAATCCTGGATGGACAATGCATTCTTTTGCCTGCGTAAACTAGATTCACCTCCGACCACAGCTGCAGTGTTTGTAGATTCAGATCAAGAAACGATTAATTTACTCTTATATCTAGCATTAGCGAGACATGTTTTATAGCAAACTGATAAAACCACTCCACTTACAGGATGTAGGAGGGCCAAATATTAGTAACACTTCTCAGTGTAATGCAGTCAACTCCAACACTCACTGTGACCTCAATGACTAACATATAATTAGATCAACACACCTCAGACCGAATGTCAACTAAAACTGAAAAACATAAGCTCTGGAAAGGTATATTTGAAAGTTTTGTTTAGAATAGCTGTTATAATTACATTTTCTTTTATTACATTTCTTTCTGTTCTGAAACATTTCTAAGGAAAACTTCAGAAGCTTCTGCCAAGGAGTGTGAATGTGAGGACCTGTAGCTGTCCATTATTTTATTAAGGGGACACAACACACCAACATTTCTACTAAATCACAAGCAGGTCTGTAGGGAAAAATGAAAAGATGTCTGCAGTTCCATGATGTATAAATAATATTTTATATCTGCTTCAGGAGTAAACACACACGAACAAATCACACCTGATAGTAATAACACAGCCATGCCTTATTATTGTGCTGTATAAATGGATATGTAGACATTTCTAGTAACATCAGAAGAATATATGTGTTTATGCAGGAATAGCTGTAATTAATCGAGAGAATGGATCTACTAGAACAGCACTGGAGATATACATTTGATGTGATGATGAAATAATGAGTACAAAATAGAAGCCCAAAGTAGGAACCCAAACATTTTTTCCATGTTAAATTTACTTCAGGGCTTAGAATATATGTACAATTTGTGAACTGCATAATCTGCCTTTTCTACAGGCTTCTCTTGGCAGCCCTGCATTTCAACCACAATGGCAACTGAGAGGTTGTCCAACCAGTGTTGCTGAGGTCTGTTATGCAATTTATGTCAAGGAGAAGCTATGATATGGTTTCTCTGGAGTTTGAATGAAGTGTGTTTTACAATCAGCGAGGTCAATGGAGTCTTGTGGGTTTGAGGAAAGCTAATTGTTTATTTTGTACATTTACAAACTATAATTGTAAAAATCCCTGTTGATTTTATTTTGTGTTTTAATAAGCCTGAACGTTCTGAAATGGTGTATGTTGTTTTGAGGATTGCTCAATCAATATTCCTACTAAATAATGTACAAATAAACAAAAAACACCTCCATTTCTTCTGTTGACCAGCACACTTGCTAGGCTGTTCCAATGTGTTCTCTTGGAATGCCAGGAAGGAGTCTTTGAAGGACCTGTCTCTCCCATCGCTCTCTCTCTCTCCTCTCTCCCATCTCTCTTTCCCGCTCCCTCTCCCATCTCTCTCTCCTCTCTCCCATCTCTATTTCCCTCTCACATCTCTCTCTCTCTCCTATCTCTCTTTCCCTCTCCCCTCTCACATCTCTCTCCCTCCCCTCCCTTTTCTCTCCCTCTCCTCTCTCTCCCATCTCTCTCTCTCCCTCTCCCTTCTCTCGCTCTCATCCCTGTGGTAATTTACAGCACTGTAAAAAGTATCGTAGAGTTTAATGAGGTAATACAGGCTACGACGTAATGTGTAACTCTGAAGTATTAGTCCTCCTGCCAGCACTATATTACCAATACTAGCTTAGTTATAGCTTTTCATATGATAGCAATCTTTACAATGTTGTTATGCGACCAGCGATAGCTAATCTTAGTTAACGTTAGCTAACACTGGTCACTAGCAGAGACAGCTATTTAGTTTGTTCTCACACAAACAACTCATTGAATCTGTTATTTCTCCTAATTTGTGTGTGTTGCTGGTCTTTTGGACACCTAACAGGTTCATAATTATAAGGCTCTGGTCCGTTATATGTCAATGAATGTACATTTTGAACCTCTTCAGTGTCAAAATTGTGATCTATTATTGTTGTAAATAAACTGACCACTCTCCCTCATTCAACGTCACTTCATGTTTGTCTTTTTTTGATGCATGTTTTACAAAAACGACTCCATATGTCACTGTATTGCAGTGGTGGGCCGTCAGGGCCAGCTAAGCCTTCTCTGCTGGCCTAAACAGAATCACAAAGTTATAGCTATATTATAATTTAATAATTTTTCATAAATACACTACATGTATTATAATTTTTTTTCCCATTAGCTTATTTTCTCATTGCACAGCTGACAGCATGGCACATTTTATGGCTGGGAATGTGTTTCATTTTAAATGAGCATCTTGGTGTTTGGAGCTATGCTACCCTAACCTGAGGATGCCATAGCATGGCAGGACACTAAGGTGCTTTTGAAAATTTTTCTCCACAACCGCGGTCCGCGGCCGCACTGACCGGCGTTCGGGGCCGGCCGGATATCGCACCGGCCTGCGTTCGGGCATTCTGTTGGATCCCGGCTGGCGGAGGTGGGCTCCCGGCCCCGCTGCGAACCGGCCGCCGTAGACCGGCGAAATACAACTGGGGAGGCTCGACTGTCACTGGCGTCCATGAATCGAGAAGGACTTCTTACTGGAACTGAAACGATGTACTGGGATTAAACTCTTTGTCAACAAAGAATTTGGTAAGTGACAAACTGCGTTTGTTTTTTTACATCTGCAGTAACGTTTTTATGAATAATATTTGAATGGCTCGTGCTCTTTTGTGGTGGAATGCGTGGATCCGCTGCAGGTTTGCTGGATTGATTTGTCATGCTTTGCTGTCATATGAATATATGTCACTGATTCTTATGACTTTGTGGTTGTCATTGTGTTAATTACATTGATTTGACTATGCATTGTCCGTTATTGACGCAGCGTCCCGTCATGCACAGATTTATGTATCTGCACCGTAGCTGTTCAACTGTAGTAGGACAGCACAGAAAGCCCAGCCATAAAATGCACAGCCCTCCACTGCTGTATTGTCATTTTATGTATGTTTTTATGAATGCTCTATAATTTTCCTACCCATTGATTTATTGATTTACTGAGGGCTCTTGCAAGTTGCTCTTTAAATGTGTGCTCCCACCCCCACTCCAGTCAATGTAAGCTACATGTGTTAAAGATCAATTAACGATTGAAATTCAGATTGTATTTAATTACGGTACCTGAATTAAAAAAGCAGTGCGAGAAATACAATCTACAGAGTCTCCGGTAGGCTGCGCTGTTCCCACGCACCCATGCGCGCGACCCGGCCCCGTCATGAGCCCGCGCAGCAGCAGTAGTTGTAGAGCACAGAGAGCGGGGATCGGAGCGGGCAGTCAGTCGGCAGTCTCATAGCGGCTTCGCTGGTGTGGATGGTAGCCTACTGAGTCGGACGGACTTTTTCCCCGGGATATTCTGCAGCATCGCCGGGTGAGTCCCACAGGTTGAACCGCAGTCCGAGCTGAGATACGGGAGCAAAGTTAGAGGTGTGCGGACAAACGTGCGGTGTGAATGCGGGTAACGGGTTTCCACAGCCTGTGATGCGTTTTATTTTTCATATCTGCAAGACCGCGTGATAGGCGAGACGACTCTAAGCCATGTAACGTCTGGTATGATAGCCTAACGTTACTGCCATATGTGATGTGCTGCAGCTGTGTGGCCCCATGCAGCTCGAGCAGAGCGCTGGCACAAAGCGTGAATGTAAATCAGATGAGCGGTGACTGCTGATGATGAGCAGCGGGTTGCGGGTCTCAAGCTTCAGCTGCATGGGACAAGTGAGATTCCGGTCCCAGCTCCAGCCATCCGGAGCTAATCGCTGTAGTCTACAGTTGTCATTGCTTTCTCGTTGCTGTTCAACCTGCGCTGTGAAATAGAATGTGGCATCCAGGAATAATGGAGACGTTTAGCTTCTTTCTATTCTATGGTGCAGGTGCATCTCTGCGGTATCGATTAAGCATCCGATACAGGAACCTCAGTATCTACTCTTAATAAAGCAGGCCTACTCCCCTAATATGCTTCAAGGCAGTGCAACCTACAGAATGGCACATTCACTGCGGGAATGATCTGGGAGGAAATTAGAATTAGTGTGGACGTTAGGCTGAATGAGATGGCAGTGCAGACATGGTAGATTTTGGTGTGTGTGTGTGTTGCTGAAGACAACAACTAGGGCTGCTCTAAATTGCTGCAAGGGTATTCAGTGAAAACAAGTGTGCATTGGAGTGTGTCTCCAAAAAGGGAGACTGCAAAGGTTACCAGCAGTCAGTGACGGGCTGCTCCATCAGGGTGGAGAGACCATTTACTCTTTTTTTTTTTTTTTTTAATGGGAGCTTTCTGCAAATACATTCTGCCATGTGTATGTGGGAGAATGGGTGCTTCATCCTCACCTCTCTCAGGCAGGCAGCCAAACAACTATACAGCTGTCTATTCACTTGCTTTACAGCTCCTCATCACACCGTTCCCCAACACCTCCTCTTTCTCCTCCTCCTCACTTCTTTCCCAACATTACATTACCTTACAGTCATTTAGCAGACGCTTTTATCCAAAGCAACTTACAATTCAGATTCTATCACACCGTAGGCACAGCTACGGGAGCAATTTGGGGTTAAGTGTCTTGCTCAAGGACACATCGACATGCGACTAGCGGAGCCGGGGATCGAACCACCGATCCTCTGATTGAAGAACAGCCCTGCTCTCCACTTAGCCACAGTCGCCCCAGCACCACCTCCTCTTTCCCTTCCTCCTCACTTCTTTTCCCAACACCTCTATATCCTCCTCGGCCTGGCCTACTGCAGACTGCCATGTACGTTGTTGTGTATTGTTGTAGCCAATAGCGTTGGCTGCTCTTGTTGTTAATTGTAGCAGGTGCGTACAATGGAAGATCATTTCTAACCTCCAGTTCTAAGAAATCCAGTCATTTAGCCTGTGTTCTCCTGTATTGTAGTTAGTCCTGGATGGTATGACCAAAAATCTCTATCATGGTTTCACAGTATATCACAGTTTTTTCTACCGATCGACTACCAGGTTAATTTGACATGGATAACTGATTACAGGTGTTGCTGACCTTGTTGTCTTTACTAGCAGCTATTCAGTTAAAGTCTGCATTTTTGCGGAGGAAGCAGCTGTTATTGGAGCGATTAGTGAGCGGCATTATCAGCCCTACAGAGCGGCGGCCGTCTGAAGTCACGGTTAGCGGCTTTGAGAAGGACGGACACAAAACGGAGGACTTTCCTTTTCTTATTAATGCTTATTTTGTTCTGCACAACTATTCTGAAGTCCACACATAAACTATAAAGGAACAAAACATGAATTGCTGTCCAGTATGACAGAGACTTCAGCCACCAGCAGAGCTACGAGTGAGAACAGACAACAACCAAATGGAGAGGAAACAAGCAAGAGACTTGTCTTGACCAAATTTATGGACCCAACTATTTTGTTCAAGTGTTAATATTAAAGTAAATTGTCTGTGTGTGAGAGAGAGAGCAGCATTGTAACTAAATCTGAAAAATAAAACTTCTAAAACTTTCCACAAAGTGTGTCTGTTTGAGTTTATAGAGGAAGAGTTTAGAGAAGATCTTAAGTATCAAACACGACCTTTCATTATTAAAGACTACTTTATAACCCTGTCATATTTTTTGAACTAAGCAACCAATCTACTTCCTGTCTACACCGGCACCCACCCGCATGCCCAGTGTACGTGAATAGTCACGTGATATTCGTTTTCAGGCGTTTTAGTCTGGACGTAGATCATTTTGAAAAAGATGCTGAAATGCCGTGTGGACGGAGATCGTTTTCGTTTTAAAGCGGTGTTTGAGTGTATTAGTGTGGATGTAGCCTAAGTCACACCTGGCTCAGGTGTGGCTCATCAGCTGACGACTAGAGTCACGTCAGCGGACTTCACAGAACACATCCAACATGCTAATACACAATCGGTGGCATCACCCAGATAAAAACCTAACCGCAGGCCTGACCATTGGGATTTCCATTTAACATCATTTGACCGGTGCTGGGCTGCACAGATCTCACAGTTGGACCTGTCAAGTCTGAAGAGGCTAGCTTTAAACAATATGACAGTACCAACTTTGATGTCTGCTGTGAATTTGTCTGAGGCTATGGCCACACTAATATATTTTCCTTTAAAACCTGGGTTTTAAAACAAAAGCAATCTCCGTCCACACAGATATTTCAGCATTGTTTGCAAAAGGATTTCCGTCCATACCAAGTAATTTACTTTAAAATGAACACTTACAAATACAAGTTTACTAGATTATGGGTCAATAAATTTGGTCTCTCACTCATTTCCTCTGTTTATGTTTTGTCTGCTCTCACACTCGTTGCTCTGCCGGCGGCTGAAGTCCCTATCGCACTGGAGATTATTTATGCTTTTGTTCCTTTACAGTTTCTTTGCAGACTTCACAATAGTTGTGCAGAACAAAATAAGCTTCAATAAGAAAAGGAAAGTCCTCCGTTTTGTGTCCACCGCCCTCCTCAAGGCCGCAAACTGTGACTTCAGACGTCGTATGATAACGCCACTGGACACGCCGCTCGCTAATCGCTCCAATACTGCTTCCTCCGCATGTCGGCAGTAGTAGAATTACAAAATGCAGAATTTAACTCCACAACAACTGCTAGTATAGACAACAAGATCAGCAACGCTTGTAATCAGTTATCCATGTTGAATTAACAACTGGTAGTCGATCGATAATCAAGGCTGTTGTTTGTGGTCTTCCGGAAAAGGGTGATAGGGGTGTGACGAATCAGGGAAGGACATGTCGTGACTGCTAAGAACCAATCAAGTAGCGAACGCGGGTGTCTACGCCATCGTTTTAAAACGTATGCATGTATGCCCGTACACATTAAGAGGTAACACCGGAGTTTTCAAACACATCTGTCCTTGGGAGCGTTTTTAAAGTCATCCGTTTTTGATCTTCATTTTAAAATGGAAACGCAGTAGTGCGGACATGGCTTGAGAGATGTTACAGTATGTGAGAGAGTGGCGTAGCATCTCCCTCCTGTGGTTGTATGGAGCCTGACTGCATCACTGCAGATAACATGTGGATGCGATTTTGCAGAGAAGCTGCTGCACTGACCTCCCTGCCGAGCACACTGACCTCCACGTGGAAGACAAGAAGGGGGAGGGGGAGATGGAGGCCCTCCCTCTGTTTGTTTTGTTCTCCTTCTCCCTGAGTGCCTTGCTCTACAGGCTGCTTGCTTGAAAATGGGATTCGCTGCAACCCCTGCTCCTCCTCCACCCTCCCCCTCACTTTTCCTTCATCTCTGGGCTCCCGAGGGCTTTGTGAAAGTCTGTTCATGCCACAATGCCAGCACTCTGCACCCCCCCTCTCCTTCCCTGTCTTTCTGTGTGTATGAGAGACCGAGGCAGAGAGTCCCCCTTCTTCATCCAGGCTGGGGGGTTGGGTTAGTATGCTGGTGTTTTGTCCCCGCTCTTTGCAATTGGCTGTGTGTGTGTGTGTGTGTGTGAACGGACCTGCTATTGTTGTCAGCGACTCCTGGAATGCTGTTGAATGGCGGTTGTGTCGGCCCAGAAGTATGATCTGTCTTTGTCCTTGTCATCTGTGTGTGCTTCTTCTCTTGCTGTGGACGGTGTGATAGCCACAGGGTTTTGAAACTAAAACAATTTGAAACTGTATCAGTTTACCATCAATAAATCATGTCCGCATTTCTATTGATTCATCAACATGAGATCATTGTCTGGAGCAGTGGTGCCAGTGGACTCTGGTGGCCCCTGCTTAATACACAGTGTGCCAGCAGGTCAGATTCAGACAGAAATCCATTTATTGTCATGGGAAGAGGGCGCTGTTCTTCACAGAGCTGTGGAATGGAGACTTGATACTTGGACTTAAGTTGGACTTAAGTCACAGAATTTAGGAGTCAAATTGATTAAGGTAAATTTGAGGGGTGGTCATTTTAATTGGCGCATTACCACCACCAACTGGTAAAATAAAATAAGTCAGGAGGTGTCGTATTTTGCCAGAGAAGGCAAATATACTCATATTTCTGCAAGAGAATTGCTGAAGTTTGAAGCTGTAGTGTGTGTACAGAGTGTGTGTGTGTTTTGTATTTATTTATATTTATATAAGTATACTGTAAACTGTTAACAGTTAATATATTGTTCATAGTTTGAAGTTAAAACGTTTTAAGCTGTAGTTTGAAGCCAAGTGTTTTGTATTTATTTATATTTATAGTATACTTTAAACAGTTAATATATTGTTCAATTTTGAAGACAAAAGTATCGGTTCAGGCACCAGTATCGGACAAAACCCAATCGCCATCAGCTGCAGCATATGTGCACAACAGACAACTGAGTCACCAGTTAACCTGTTGTTGTGTTCATTGTCGTGGACACATTCAGCCACTTTCCCAGTAAGTCTCCACCACATCAGGGGGGCGACTGTGGCTCAGTGGTGGGAGCG